AGCCAGCGGCCGGCCGCCGCCCACCGGGCAGCCCGCACGGCAGGGCCGCGGCCCGCGGGCAGCCGACCGCCAAGGGAAGGCCCCGGGCTTAGGCTGAAAGAGCACAAACCACCTTGCCTTACACCTACCACTGGAAAGCCGAAGTATTTCACTTGAAGTAATTTTCACCTGCAACTGGACCGGAGTGAATTGAGGCCTATGAAGCTTTGTCTAGTTTTGCATTCGAAGAAAGCCAAAATACAAGGGAAAGGAGCTGTCTCCTCTGTCGAGCCTCAAAACACTAGCAAAGTTGTTGCAGGGAGATTTATTGCTTTCCCCAGGTGGCTCTAGGCAAGAAGACGACAACTCATTTCATAAGCAGCTAATGAAGGTGCTATTTTACCATTATTTGAGAAGACCAAAGATAACATGGAGAAGCCAAATCCAGCAGCTATTTCTGATTTCTGTACAAAGCTAAAATGATACTGCAACAAACTGTGGTCTGATCAGACAGCGGCTGAAAGGATTCAACAAATAGAGGAGAGCCCCTTAAAATTATGTCCTTAACTACAGTTTGAGAGAAAAGCTTCACTAATACAGCCTTAATTTATTGAACACTAAATTTCTCACACATCACCAGTACTTGTCTTTATTAAATGGAATATAGACCTAAACTGACATCCTACTCTCATCCCAGACTTCACAAATAATTGATTCTTTATTGATAGTGCAAACAGGCTCTGTATCCTCTAGCCGGGAGCCACTGGAGGGCAACATAACCCATTCAACTTACAACACAGTCCAGTATCAAAAAAACCGCAATGCTAGTAGCTCGCCAATAAAGCTAATGTAATTAACACGATAATATGCTTTCTACTGCACTGTCTCTTGCCCAGGGCAAGTGCTGCACATTGTGAATTCATACTCTGAAAACATTAAACTGAACTTGTAAGTGTGAGGCTCATGAATTGATTTTCTTTCTTTTCAGTTGCCACTATTTCAGACAGCAAAAATCCACCAACTGGATGTTTACTTTGTGAAAAAGACAAATTTATAAAATGAAATATCTAATATGATGCCATTATAATACTGTATTAGGTTACTCAGCCTAAAGCTTGCCACAACAGAGGACCACTCAACCTTGCTGAGTGGGTGTTTTCCACTTCAGAAGACAGAGCTAAGAGCACTACTGGATACTTGCTGTTCTTTCCCATTGATTTCAGGTTGTGTAACTGTAAAGGAGATCAAAAAACAGTACTCTTAAGAGCATTAAGTGCAAGGAAGCAGCTTTCATCTGTTGCCCTAGTCAAGCTCCAGAACAGAAGTGCAATTATTCTAAAATAAACATGCTCTAAAAACTGTTTTATCAAAGACCTATTTGTTTCATTTTTCCATTACTACTCCTGATGCTTGAAATCCTCCTGCTGACTAGTTCTCTTCACTGCCAAGTATCATGAAGCTGTCCCACAAGTTTAAGGATTAACTGAGTCAATACATCTAAAAGTTGATAGCTATTTAGGTTTACTTAATGCACTACACTCTTGGGTGCTCTCTAAGATAGGTGCCCCAAGGACAATAGCATTTGCCATACTCTTTAGATGCACTGAAATATTTTCAAAGCAGGCTTTTGGGAGTATAGAAACAGTTATACTGAGAAGGTTTTCATTTTTCAAAGTGGCTCAAGTCAGCTGCTTCAACTCTTACTGGAATAAGCCTCATTTGGGAAGATTATCCAGTAATCCTAGCCATCAGGAATGCCTTCCACCTCCCTCCCTTGTTACTAAGCAGATCACACCCAGAAGTCTCCAGACACAGTGACCTCTGCTACTGGTTGTAGATGCTCTCCTTCCCTGCATTCAGAAAGCTTAAGGAGCCCTCCGCTTCTGAGGCACTCCTGGTAGGCACCAGTCCCAAAGGCTACACCACCTTCAGAAGGCATTCCCCTCAAAGCCCTGAAAGCAACTTCAACTCTGCTCCTTGTTTCAGAAAAGCTATGGATAAATACAGCACAGATTTGACCACCTCCAACAGTGGAAGTCTGAGCAGCTCTTACTCAGTAGTGTTTACTTCCCTGTATCCAAAGGGCTCTGACTCATTGACTTCACTTTAGGGCATACCAACTTCTTACTCAGGGAAGGTTTCTCTCCCACAAAACCTGCTTCTGTTATTTGCCCAAGGACTTGCAATATTGCTGTGCAATTTATCTTGGGTAAAATTATTCATGCTTCAAGTAGCATATTAATGGTAGACCACTGTACCTCATAGCCTGTTCCTTTAGTATGTTTAGCTACATCAGATTTTGGATCTTCTAACTATATTTATCTTAAATCTGTATCATCTCACACCTACATCCTGTATAAGATGACTAAACTCATTCTAAGTGTCATGTTTAGAAGTCAAGACTGTTTGATTAAAGGAAGCTGATTCTACAAGAATAACCTCACATGGTTTTGGTGTTCTAGTAAGGTAGCTCTCTTCACTTGAGCATGTCGTCTCGGCATTAATCTCTTGAGCTTTGCTGATGGTCTTCCTAGTCCTCTTACCAGTATTCCTCCTGCCCCCACAAAAAATAATGTAAATCTATCACCAATGTCATGCTCTCAACTTGGTAACTTGTACTTCAGGAACAAAGGAAAGCAGAATTTTTGTACTGATCAAAAGTTGTCAGGACAGAATCAAAACATGTTATTAAGTGATTATTTCCACTCATCTTCAGGAAAGAAACCTTGAAAAGCCTCAGTCAACTTGACTAGAGCAGAAAACATCAAAAATGTAACCAAAAAAGCCTGACATTAAAAAAATCTCAGGGGATACATGCAAGCAGTCTGTCCACTGGTATGCTGTGGAAGTATAGAGCTAGTAGAGCAGCATGATTACTAGAATAAGACACTATGATTATTTCCTGTTTTTAAGGAACTTGGACCCTTACGGAATTTCAGTAGTGTCCAATACATCTGGCTTCAACTCTGAGGCATGAGACATGTACAGCAGGAAACTAATACTGTTTCCCACTGTGCTTTACAAGTTCCACGAGTCAAACTTGATTATAAACTCCCTTTAATAAAGCCCATTTGTTTCTTCAAGTCTCTTACTTCACAATATTTAACAAGTTTATTTTCTAAAAAAAAAAAAAAAAAAAAAAGGGATTAAGGCTTGACAAAAATATATCAAAAGATTTTACAGCTTTCTCTTATTAAGAGAAACCAGGCTTGATGCACTGACAAATTCACATTGCATTTGTTACCACATGAACAGCAACGAATTATAATTTAAATATTCTTACTTCACTGGGCCTGCAAAGATGACATTTCCCATGTGTATCTGTCTCTTTAATGTCTGCTCAGTAATAATCACAGCTTCTCTTTGATTGAGTAAATAAAGTGTTGTGAATTCTGTAGTGTTTTTAAAGATGAGTCACTTGCAAACTCTGATAGTTGGTGAGAACTCTTACTGAAATTTTACCACTTTTCAGTAGATTAGCCAGCTAGTTGCTACTTCTGTTTGTCTTGGTGAGGTGCTTGGTTGGTCTAACATGTGTTCCATTTTTAAGAACAAGTGATAATAGAGCAATTAAGTACCTCACCAAGACAAACAGAACCACAAGCTATGAAAAACAGGTTTCTAATAGACAAGTACACTAGACATGCTTCATCATGTCAAGTTTAGAACCTAAAGCAATACTAAGGGAGCAATACTAAGGGTCAAAGCCAAGAATCATCCTACTGATCTTGCACACTGGTTGCAGGACTAGGATCTAGTAGAAAGGACACAGCTAAAGCAGCTGACCCCACTTGAACAGAGTTGGACTACTATCTCCAGAGATTCTTTCTAACCTCAATAACTCTGATTCTAAGCCTAGACAGTCACAAGTCAAAGTTTAAGTAGCTAGAGCTGCTTGTTTCCCCCCAACTGTATTAAGAGACATTTGAAAGGCAGCTTTTCCCCAGAGTTTGCAAACTAAGCATCTGAGATGTTAAGACCCATATTTAGAAAGGTGGCAGACAAGTTCGGACTTTTTGCTTTCACTGAAATACAAAGTTTGCTCTTAACAATCACCCCAGACTCACCATCACTTTCTTGGGTTAACATCCTTGTCATAGGATGACCTTCACAAACCAAGTACCAAAGATGACACCAAATTAGAAATTCTGCAGTTGAGAACTGTCAACAAGTCTATATAAAAAACTACTTTAAAGCTTGACTACGTGAAACATTTTTACCTGAAACATGTTTTTTCCCACACTATTTCATTAGCTGCCTTCACTGTTCAATAGCAATGCACTTGAAAATTGATCTACAAGCAGATAAAGTGAAGAGGTCAAACAAGCAGAGCACAGCATGTTCTCACAGGAGATGCAGGTCATGAACTCAGCTACCAGGTCCTCCAGGAGTGCTTGCTCCCACCAGAACTGATATACCTTAATCTTGAGTTACTACTGGTTCATGTGAAAATAACTGGTGAACAGCATTAATGTTTTATTTTTTTAGAATTTAGAAAAGTTCTACAGCGTTCAGCAATGTAAGCCAAATGTTCTGACACACTCAAGTCTAAAGAAAAGAAGTTCTCGAATAATTCACAGTGCAGCTTTCATTTTCTACCTCTTGAAGAGTAATTTTAAACATGCTTCCTTCTTTGTAGATATATGATCTGCAAAGTAAGATGTCCTTAGATCATCCGCATGCAAGTACCAGGGTTAATAACAGCAACAGCCTTGAAGTTAATAACTGCAGTTCTCTCAAGAACTATGCAAGAGCTGCTCTGCTTGAAGTTGAGAGATATGACTCTTTCATTTGCTAAAGCAGCAGCAAACATGGTACATTATTCCTGCCCAGATCACATTCACCCTGTATCTTAGCAGTAAAGCAAGTTGCATCAAAAAAAGAA